GAGGGGCCCCAAAAGTTCTGCTCTGATCCCCAGCCTGGTTGCTGTGATTGAAGACCTCCAGGCGGGGCTTGCTGATTGGTGGATTGAAGAGGTGATTCTTTTGACCCGCTCAGTGTGCTGTCCAAATGGGAATTCGTGACTAACATTTTAGAGGCAGCAGAAAACACCAGGCTGTCTGCACCCAGAGAGTTACCATCTCGGAAACCCACAGGGGCGGTTCCACCCTGCCCTACAGGGTCACTCTAAGTCAGCATTGTCTCCAGGGCCATGAGTTTGGTTTGGCTTCATGATGTCATGAGGTGACTTGGGGGCTCCATGCATGAGTAAGCCTCGCTGCTAACGGCAAGGCGGGCCGTTCGAACCCACCAGCTGTTCTGCAGGAGAAAGTTGTGGCAGTGTGCTGCTGTCAGGATGTCAGCCTGGGGAGCCTGGGGGGAGCTGGGCTCTGCTGCTGGAGGGTCCTTCTGAGTCAGAGCCCACTCCCTAAGCAGCGGTTGTGGTTTGGGGTTACGATGCGGTTTTGAGCGGGCTGGCAAGCTTTGGGCCGTGGTCAAATCCAACTCGGGGCTTCTTTTCACCCAGCCTGTGAGCCAAGGGCTGTGTTTACACTTTAAAGGCTGTAAAGATAGAAAAGACAAGGACTGTGTAACAAGGACTGTGTAACAGAGACCGGATGTGGCCGGCTCAGCTTGAGGTCTCACCTCTTCTCTGGAGCCAGCTGCCCCTGGCCACCTGTGTGACGTTGGGCAAATCACTTCACCTCCCCGTGCCTCAGTTTCCTCATCTGTGATATGGGGCTTGCATTAAGAGTAACACTGTACATATGGCACTTATAGTTACAGGGCTACTGGTAGGTAGTGTCGTGACATCTGGAGAAGAGATGGAAGTTGTCAAGGATTTCATCCTGTTGGATCCGCAGTCCGCACTCATGGAAGCAGTCGTCAGGAGATCAAGTTGCACTGGGCCAGTGTGCCACACAAGACCTCTTTCTGAGGGTCCAAAAGCAAGGATGTGACTTTGAGGACTAAGGTGTGCCTGACTCAGCCCGTGGTATCTTCAATCACCTCTGTCCATGTGAAAGTTGGACATCGCATAAGGAAGGCTGAAGACGCTTCCATGTCCTTGAGTGATGGCCCTGGCAGAGACTATGGGAAGTACCGCAGACTGTCAAAGGACGCGCAGACCTGTCTCGGAAGAAGTAAGACCAGAGTGCTCCTTAGAGGCAAAGACTCTGTCTCATGGACTTTGGCCATGTGATCAGGAGAGGCCAGTCCCTGGAGAAGGATATCATGCTTGGCAAAGTGGAGAGGCAGCACCAGAGAGGAAGGCCTTCACCAAGAGGGATGGACCCCGGGGCTGCAATGGTGGGGCTCAGACACAGGGGCAGTGTTTCGTTCTGTTGTGCGTAAGGTTGCTGTGGGTCAGAACCTGCTTGAAGACACCCAACAGCCACAGAAGGTTATTGAAGGTGCCCTGGTGGCAGAGGAGTTACAGCACGTGGTTGCTCACCCAGAGGCCAGCACTTCAACCAGCTGCTCCGAGAGAGAGAGAGAGAGAGAGAGAGACGCTCTGTGATGGGAGAGCTGACAGTTGGTGCCTGTAGATGTTTTCAGCCTGGGAAACCCTCAGAGGCAGTTCTCTGTCCAGTGGGATTGCTATGAGTCTGAATGGACTGCCCAGCGGTGGGCGTAGAGTCTCTTGTGATGATGAATGCAGGTATTGTGTTCTTGCAGCAACTTACAGCGTCTGAGCCAGGGAAGCCACCTTTGGAGCCGAGGCTGTTGAATTCCAGAGCATCAGGCTGCTCCCTAACCAGTAGCCTGCACTGTTGAGCAGAACCTTGGAGAGCTCAGTGGGGGGAGGAGGGACGCTGGCCTCCTTCCCTTCCTCGACGGGAGCCTGGGGAAACTGGTGGCCTTACATTTCATGGCCCCGTGGCTGGCCCTTCCTTCCGGAATTGCAAGACCTTCTACCTCTGGCCTGTTAGGACAAAGGCCAGCTGGAGTCCTGGAGCCAGGTCCTGGAAGTTCCTGAGGCATCGCCCTCGTGGTTTCTGTGTCTAGGGGACACGTCTGGACACTTGGAATTGTAGATTCTGTAGCATATTTGAAGCAACCGATTTGCCTGGACCTGCATGCGCTGGTGGACTCTCTCTTTGATACGAGGCCTTGGGGTTTTGGGAATCCCCTCACTTCTACAGACCAGGGCTTGGTCTAGCAGGATACCTGGCCTCTGTCTTCCCAGACCGCTGGGATGGACAGGAGAGGGAGTACCCACAGGAAGTGGCTGTGAAGCCAGCAGGGCTGGCTTTCTGGCCAGGCAGCTGTTGACACTGCCCCGGGCGCTCATTCAGCACACCGGCTGCACTTCCCCTGCCTCCAGCTGTGTTTACACGGCAGGGAGAGCACAGGGGGACCAGCCAGCGGGGTCTAGGATTCCTGAGGGGAAAGGCCATGCTCCCGCCTGACAGAATGGCTCAGAGTGTCCTGGTCCCTGGCTGGAACGTTTGCATTAGACAACAGCTGGGGCCAACGGGAGCTTTTCACAGCCCCTACTTCCTCCACGTGTGCTCTGCCCAGCGGATCTTAGAGATGGCCAGCTGCTCGAGCCCCAACTTGCCCAGGGGCCCTTCCAGATCTGACCCCCTCACAGATGTCTCGGTGGCCTCTCTGAGGCCTTTTGTTGTGGAGGTGAGCAGGGTCGAGGCGCCCGGGTGGGCGAGAGGGAAGAGGCAAGAGGGAAGGCCTCTTTGGGAACAGACCCAAAAGGCTGAACTTGAACAGTGCCTAAGAATAGCCGCAACATTCTATTTCAGCTCCTCAGTCCAGACCCGGCATAGACAGCTGGTATTTTCAGCCTTTGCTGAGTTTTCCATGGACGTTTCCAGGGAAATGCTTCTGTTTGGAGACGATGTCCCTGATGCCCAGGTGGCACATGTCCAAGGTGTGCCCCGACGGTCACTGGCTGTCTTGGTGGCTCTTGTTGGGGCCCTCACTGTGCACTGGCAG